CTTTTGGGTACAAGGAAAAAGTAAATTATTTAAGAAATTTGTGAGGAAGTCAGGAAAGATGAATTTAAAATCTCACTGTGTGGAGTCCAATTACATTAATATGGCATAATTGAACCAGCGCAATATAACAGTGCATACTTATGTTCTCTGTTACCACATTCCAMGGAATGCTGAAGAATAATTGCAGATAAAACTGAGTATCATGGGAAAAAGAGAGTAAACCCTCCAAATTTTACTCTTTCAGGGGCTGTTGATAATCATTGTTATCAGTCAACAGTATTAGAAGAGTCATTTTGCACCTTTTAAGTATTTCATCAATTTAACACAAAATTTCAAAGCATGATCAGTCTGATGAACAGTGGATTACATAAATATGCAATACTCAACAAAGTTATTTCAGGCTTTTCACCCATGTCCCTTGTATACATTATATGCTGGAACCTAAATTAAAATATTCATAGCTCACTGGAGAGAAATGAAAAATTGATTAACTTAGGTATTTGGGGAAAATGTGTGATCAGAGAGATGAGAAAGATGCAGTCTGGCCTGGGAGAGAATTGCTTAGAGGTGACAGTAAGGAGGAGGTGCCCAAAGCATAACTCCCATGACACACTGTGGTGACACTTCTAACTGCACTGTTTGCTTTCTCATGTAGAAGGATTTTAGAAAAAGGRGGAAAATATTAAAAGAAAATGGAAGTTAGGAGTAGGAGTGAAGGTTGCTTTCTTGGTGCCTTTTTTATCCAAATTGACTTTTCTTAAACAATTTCCGAATAGTGTATATGTGTGTGTATACATATATATGTCCTAAAATTTCAGATTTTCAGTTGTTTTAACTGTTAGTGTGTWGATGCACACATGCTGTGATTGTTTTATAATAACGTAAATATTGCATCTATTTTTTCGTGAGAAGGGTTAGAGAACCTCAAAGTTCTGGAAATGTAATGTCTGTGCTTTAATGGGAAAAATAATTTAAAAGAAGAAATGATATTTCAGATTATTCTGTTGAAATGATAGTTTTAAATTTTTTGTGATTTGAGGATCATGACTCCCTGGGATACTGAGATGGTGTTGCTATTTGAAACCCCAAAGCATCAAAACTAAAAGGCTCTGCCATATATGTAGACCTTGTAATATAGAGGCTACTCGGAATGCCACTTTCAGAGTTTTAAACCTCAGAACTTTAAAACAGAGAGAGTGAACTCATTAGATGTCCAGGAAATTTCTACTGATTTGTAACTTCTTAAAAATGTGACAGAAATCTGTTGTATATTAAGAAATTCTTTCAATTCAGATAATARTGTGGTTGATTATGTGTTTGGGCTTCTTTCTACAGTAAAGTACTACTTTTCTAGCAGTAAATTCTTTAATACTGCTTAGTTGACTTCTCAGGGATTCTTTCCAGTGCACAACCTCACTAATCTAAAAAAAACCTGAGTCACAGATTGGGCTAAAGGAGATTGGGTTTGAAGTGGAGAAGATGCTTAATGTCTTACTTTAAAATGATCCAATATGCTTTTTACTTTTGAATTCTTTTCTCACATTCTTTGCAGCAGAGGTGGTCTCCTGGACTTTCAGCAGTTGAATACACCATCAAGTTTTGAGYATCTGTTTGTCCTGACCAAACAGAATAAAGCCCCTAGACCTATTTTTAAGCTCAGAGAAAGAGATGCTGAGAAAACACATGCTTGGGAAATTCAGCTGCAGTGTCTGACTATTTTAATGATTTAAATATGCTTTGGATACCCTTGTCCATCTGTCCTGTTGCTTTGCTTGGGTTTGTCTCTTGACCTGATATGAGAGAAATAAATTTGAGTCACCAGTTTTCACCCAGCATGTTAACCTAAGCTGCTGATAGTCAAACGATTGTGGAGGCAAAGCAGTCAAATCACCACAATTAAATTCAACTTTGAGATTTTGAGTGAGTACCTTTAGACAGTTTGCTATGTTTGTATGAAACTTTTTCTGGATGACCACCCCCAGAATGATTCTTCTTGGAGCTTTCATACTTGTATAACTRCTGCTACATTTAGGGAAAAAATATTAAAAATATATTAAAAAMTTCTCAGACAGAAATATATTTAATAGCAAGATTGAACATCTTGGATTTTTCCCCATTCATTCTGTTTATTTCTATTCCAAAAGCATAAGAATGGTAACTGGAACACTGAGMGTTCCCTGTACCTTCTACTGCAGGAACATTAGCAGAATGGTGTTCTCCTTCTGTTTGACAATTACAGCTTTTCTGTTTGTTGTTRCCCACACGCTATGATGGTAATTTTATGACAAAGTAAATAGAGGTTCATGTATCTGTTCTTCCATGAATCTGCCATTTACCTGATTGTTTCATTATCTTCAGATACCACACAGTTGTGAATTGACCTGATTTATAGTAATGGAAAAATAAACTTTTAGACAGGCTGTCTAAATCACACACTTGAGAGCAAGTAAAGATAAACTGAGTTTCCCGAACTAACTGACACTAATGAATAGCTATAAATATTTTCTTTATCTAAGAATGTTTAAAATTAAAGAGGGAGATTCTCCCAGTTTTCATTGGGAGAACTGTGATATGAAGATAACTTGAAAAAGTTGAGGTGATTTAGGTAATGAAYTGTTGAATGGGTTAAAATTCCTATTATACAATTCCTTGTAGAACAATACAAGGTACAGATGTAGGAAAGAGTAGAAAAGTAAGTAAAGGAGCATCTGAGAAACAGAAAGCAGCTGAGTTTTACTGAATTAAAAAAAATATCCAAGCTGAGTTGAGCCTTGAAGATAATACGTCTGGAACATAAAACATGGTAAGAAAGCAAAGAAGATTTTCAACACCGCAATTTCTGCCTCGTCAGTTT